TGTTAACATCTGTCAGTCAATCATTATAATATGATAATCAATATTATTTAATGATAGAACTTTTGTAATTAGAATTAAAACTTGATAACCATGTATGAATGTATATTAGTCTTAGACTGGTGGTGGTGCTTTTTTGGTCATTCAGTGTTTCTGTAAAAAAAAAAAAATTAAAATTGGGGAAAACCTAACAAAAATACTGATTAATGATACGAATTCTACTAATAAGAACAATATAAAACGCACCAAGGATTAATGAGCTACTAGCTACTGCTTATACTTAGCCTCCAAATCACACACTGGCAAATAAAATCTGAGAATTTATTAGCCATTGGCTAATATTAGACATCATTTAGTCGCCCAGAGTAAGATTTAGTCGCATATGCGAGTGATTTACTCGCAATGTAGAGGGTTGCACTCATTGAGACACATGGAGAAGTCACATTCGTGATTTAAGGAACTTATAAGAACTTTCACATACCTTGCTCGCACAGTCGAATCCGGCTCCCAGAGACGCCAGTGTCGTGACGACAGCCCTGCTGTCATTGCACTTCACTGCATAGAACGGTGTGATACGGGGTAAAACGCGCAACCAACGGAGGTGCTTCTTCAGGACGTCACCCAGGTCAGCCACATAGAAGGCATCTTTGTCATCCTAAAAGAAGAAGAGATGGGATCAGAATGGTGGATGGCATATGCAGAGTAGGGCTGTGCAATATAACAAAATATCGCAAATGTACATATCGCAATATGCATATCGCTACGGCTTGCAATATTTGGGGCCATGAACAAAAGACAAAGAGAAAAATCGCTCACTGCTCTTACCTAAATAACTTTTGTAGCTCAAATAAGAATCAGTGCATATCGAATTCATAGAGTAAATACTAAGCAGTGTTGTATTTTTCCTTTTTATTATTCTGTTCCTAAACTCATGTTAAAATGACATTTTTATGTAATGCTTAGGGATATGCCGGTATCAAATTTTCATGTTGCGATTAATTGCTAATGCTTTTATCACGGTATACTGTATTATCACAGTATTGACATTTAGTTTTAAAAAAAGTGCTGTCATTCTACAGTATAACAGGTTTAATAACTTTTTTCTTATAACAAAAATAACTGAACATTTAAATGCAATAAAGCAATACAGAAAAATGTATAAAATTAAAAGTTTTACACAGATTAAAGTGCAAAAGAACTATAAAGACCAATAGGTATGTGTTAGTTTTAAATATATTTACAGATGAGTACTTTTTATTTCTGTTTTAATTATTTTAGCATAAGTGAAATTAAATGATACATTTAACTTGGCAAGTAGCATTTCATTTTATAAACTTGTATTAACAAACTAATTTTATTTCAAGTAAAGTGTTTTTTGTGTGTTTTTAGTTTTCATTAACTATAATAACCGACTCAACTTTAAGGAAAGCACTGGTATCACACCCACTGCTCTCATTTTACTCCGTCATCAGGGTTTCACAGCAACGGACCAAATTTTAACATTATTTGTCACTGACAAAGAGTGATGTAAACATTACTAAAATTATTCCAAATCAAAATGTCTACAATACAACACTTGCACAAATGTCTGTAGAATGATTATACCTCTCTCACTGGTGAAACTGGAACTTAAAAGGTACAAAATTACACAGATCTTTAAGGGGTTTGAGTTTTCCATGCCACTTTATTGGATGCTCTCAAAAGGCAGAATGACTCACCAGATGAATGGAAGAGATGGAAGTATATGTGGCTAACAGATGTCGGACAGCCAAGGAGGTTCACCAGTGAAGTTGAATCCTTTCAGATAAGCCTCAAGGCCAGGGCCAGTGTGCACGTCTCCCAAGCAAGAATTCTGCAAAGATTAATACATTACATCGAACCATACGAACCATAAAGTGCAGGCAACAAACCAGTCCAAACTAACGTTAGGTTCTTTCGTTAATTCACATAGTGTGTAAAACTCATTACACACAATTTGCTGTTTATCGTAACGGTCCATTTCGTGTAAAATTAGGAAATTGTTTCCCAATGAAGCTGGCAACCGCACACACATTTTTGGACACTTATAATGCAGAGCGATTTCGCAAAGCCGGTGAATTTAGTCCCTCCCCTGCGAAGAGCGCGACTACATCAGTTACCCAATAAGGAAAAGCCCTGTTTGGACAAACTATAACAGGCATTCCTGTCAGCCAATCACTGATCAAATCCAGCCGGCTTCTGCTTTCGGCTCAGCCAATAGAATGCGCTCATTCGGGCTAGCGAGGCTATGAAGCGTGAGGCTTCATTCATTGATCTTGAGCTTGAAAATAACAGTTAGCATTAACCAAAGAATCTAGTAAACATGTTAGCAACTCCACGTTTGTCAACACAGCTGGCTCCAACGATAAAGACCTTTGATAAAAGTCGAAGTTAAATCCGCGCAGGAAAGTGTGACACAGCGGCCACGTTGACTCAGAGGCCATAGTGTCATAACACACGACACAACTAAGTTAACGTTAAACGAGCCAAACGCGTCGATATTAAACTGCGTCGAAAAACATTTCAGCGAATTAACTAACGTTAAAGAGGCTGATCGGTTAGTTTCTTTATTTGTGATTAGACTGTACCATACTGAAAGTTTATCCTAACATAACGGATATAAGACACCTAACGTTAATGCCGCTGAATAATATCGTATAACTCACCTTAAAACGCATTTACAAAGAGTTTTCCCATTAGCCCAGAGTGCTGGAAATGAATATTGTCGGCGTTGTCCCGCTGTGGTGCTCTACAAGAGGAGTAACAACCGGCACGAGATCGCAGCTCTATATATAGTGAGGTGGTTTCCATGGTGACGCGCCAGCTGAAACCGGCTTGCTCTGAGCAAGCGAACCAGTTTGTTCTTGCTAGCGGCTTCGCGCGTGAGCGTTTGAAGGAGTGAAGGAAGGACATATTTCCCGCGTCTGACTGAACCAAAGTTACATTCTCAACTGGTATAAGATTAATAATAATTATTATTATGCTAAAATCTGTTAATGAAACAGAGCCCACAATGAACAAAGGGCTTAACCATGTAAAACATAAAAGCTGAACTATTCTTGATTTCTTGTTGTTTCCTGAACATCTATAAACTATCAACTAAACTGTTATCTCTAATTAGAAAGTTAAATATTTGTCGAGGAGTTTGAATTCACACACACACACACACACACGCACACGCGCACTCGCACTCACTCTCACACACACACACACACACACACACACACACAC